TTTATCAAACAAAGACTATACTGAGGTCATTGGACTAAATTGATATTCTATCAGCTAAACTTTATTTGATATGGAATAATTGTAAATATCCTATCTTGAAAGAAGATATTTAGGGATAAGATGTTGCCAGTAGCTAATCAATGAATGTAATCCAATTCTACAAGAAGTCAATTGCGGCCTGAATTTCTTAGCGGTAACCTCACTGCGTCCTGGTTTCAAATCTCACGGAGGACATCAGTCCCGTCGAGGTTGCAGGCTCACGTTACTATTGAGTGCCGATAAGTACGAAATTTAGGTTCAGGGCTTCTTCCCGATTGCCTCCAACTAACTAACACTTGGTAACTAAACCAATCATCATTCGATAAGCAATTCGTAAACCCTGTGACTCTATATCACACATTAGCACAAAAAACCTCAGTGTAGCAAAGTTTAGGACTTGTCTGTGGCATCTTGACTCCAATACAAAAGAGTGACCTCGAATTACCGACAGAATAACAGTTCTCTCGAGATTGTAATGATGAAAATTAACAACAACCTAATTTGAGCCTTTCTTAATAACAGTCTTGATATATCCAACACTTATTCTTGTCAGACTTATGACGAGATCCTGCTTTAGTCATATCTTTCCATCGATGTACACTTGATTTAATTTAGATATGGTAGACTCATAACTTAGAGTTGCATAAAAAGCATACCATAAGAAACAAACGTAGGTAGTAGATTAATGTAAGTTACCACATATGAAGGAAAATAAACACAGTATTTATTTAGTGACTGGATTTCATATATCTTTCTCAAGTTACTGCTTGAGTCTGTGACCCGTAGTGCCTACCAACTCTGTATGCTAGTCACGTGTTTTACATGATGTTCGCGCTAAATAATCAACTGTCTGAAGTAGGGAATTCCAAATCATTATATTTCAGCTCAATTGCTGAAAGCAACATATTAGCCTGAATACTTTAATTTTCCTGGTTCGAGTATATATAGGGTAACTGATGCCGTGCTAAAGAATCCTGAACCAATAAGAAACAACTATGTTTAGTAATGATGGGCAGTGGCTAGCAGTGGAATCCAGGATCCGCATTTCGTCCTATTTGGGACTCGTCAGCTGGATGTACCTGCTTCCCAGTGAGTGGTGTTGTTCCCACCGGGACTCGGACTCGGGAGCGATCGCTTCAAACGCCAGCGCATTATCCACTACACCACCGAGCCACGTTAGCCACTTCTTGTGCAACGGGTATAGGTTTTAGTGTTATTGCTTGTATTACACTGTCGTTGATTGGACCGAATTGTTGAGTCTCTGTTGGCATATGGGCTCCTATGTGGATGCCTCGATATGGCCTGTCTTTTAACTGTGATTAGTAATGATGGGCAGTGGCTAGCAGTGGAATCCATATGCCAACAGAGACTGAACAATTCGGTCCAATCAACGACGGTGTAATACAATCAATAACACTAAAAAACAACTATCTTAGATATTAAATAGCTCCTTAGTGAAACCAACTCATAACAAAATTTGTTATTAAGTAGTACCTGCTATTTTTTATATAGTCACTATGTGGTGTAAATATACATACTTGATTACTAATATATACCGTTAAACAAGACAAAACAACATACACACATACCGTAGACTGAAACATCGATTTAGGTGTAACAACATAGAAATGAACAGTTTTCACAGGTCGATTGGTAATGCAAAGGATGGAAATGAATGTTCAAAATTGAATGGGTTGGGGATAGATAACATGATTAACTATGAGTTTGTATAACACTGGGTTTTACGTAGGAAAATAATAATAATGTTGACACAGGGGTGAGAACTGAATCGATCGAGCGTAGATCACATCGTTCAAAACAAGATACTTTATAGTACTTAGGCAGATATAATAATAAAACCAGGTGTATGTATATTAAAATGATTACTAATGATAATAATGGTAATAGGAATAAGGTTAATAAGTCGAAACAAATCAAGGAAGGAAAATAAAATATGAGATGGATGATAATTAAGAGCGAAGAGCAAGTACGAAAGAATGAATATGATTAGACAGTTTATATAAACTATGATCAAGATTTGACTGTATAGTATGGCAGATATTGGGCGCTGAGTAAAAGGTTGACATTAGATATAGAATTGTATTTGTGTAAATCACAGAAGGTTTGAAATCAAACAATTCCAACGTTTCGTACGGAAGTCTGGTCCGAGCTTCTTCAGAGAAATAATCAAAATTAAAACATCAAGGATATATAAATGAATTCAAAAAACGTGTATTGAATCTCCTCGTCCAATTCCTCTTCGTATAGTCATTGTCTTTCTAAATTATGATAACTAAGCATTCAGTGTGAATTTGTATATCTTTTGTTGTATGGCGTATGTATGTTATATGTACTCCTATTCCTATTCGTCTTGATTGTAAATATCAGACTAGAAGGACATTGGTGACAGTCATTCGATAGTTTTTTATAAGTATAAATTGAAAAGGATGAAGTGGATGTGTATACAATTTCAGTTGAAGTAAAGTGGTGAGTAGTGTTAGCAAATTCTCTCCGCATTGATTTACCGAAATAGAGTGTAAATCAGTGATAGTAATGAAGGTGGTGATGATGGTAATAACAATCATAATAAAAATAATAAGAATGAATCAGATCAGTGCAGGTTGTGTTGTTTTTGATGTAGAAATAATGGAGTTAAGACCAGTGTTTTGAGTCAGTCTTTCTGCTTACTGATTAGTAACTGCCAAGAGGCAGCTAACTGTACTCCATCTTGTCCGTTCAAACTGTCTGGATTCGCCCATATATGTAGGGCCTCAGCTGTCAGTCTTTCTTGGTATGACCCAAAACCTTTTTGTAGAACCTTAGTTCCGTCAAAGTCGATTTTGTGTCCCATTTCTATAGAGTGTAACTCGATCGCAGATTTGTTTTTCTAGTTTCTTAACCTCTGCTGAGGTTTTTGGGATCTGCTTTAAGCATGGTTTATGCTCATTGACTCTCATATTTACCTGCCTGGCTGTTTCCCCCTACATATACTGCAGTACAATCTCCGCATTTGATTTCATAAATGCAGTTCTGCTGATTTTCTTTAGGTACTACATCTTTAACTTTCATTAAGTTAGAACGTAGGGTAAATGCGGAGAGAATTTGCTAACACTACTCACCACTTTACTTCAACTGAAATTGTATACACATCCACCTCATCCTTTTCAATTTATACTTATAAAAAACTACCGAATGACTGTCACCAATGTCCTTCTAGTCTGATATTTACAATCAAGACGAATAGGAATAAGAGTACATGCATACATAAACCAGACAACAAAAGATATACGAATTCACACTGAATGCTTAGTTATCATAATTTAGAAAGACAATGACTATACGAAGAGGAATTGGACGAGGAGATTCAATACACGTTTTTTGAATTCATTTATATATCCTTGATGTTTTAATTTTGATTATTTCTCTGAAGAAGCTCGGACCAGACTTCCGTACGAAACGTTGGAATTGTTTGATTTCAAACCTTCTGTGATTTACACAAATACAATTCTATATCTAATGATTAGACAATGCTGTAATTCCTACCATGACAGATTCAAGCTGACTAACATTCCCTTCTGAATGTGAAGAGGTTTGATTTGACAACTGGAATCGTGCAGGCTACTGCAGTCCCAACCAATGTCTTATTTTGCTGTCTACTGATAGCCGTAAAGGGATTATAGGTATCAATATCACGCCCACAATCCATTAGGGGTTTCGTTATCAAGCTCCTCGGGGTCTTCTTCTCGGCATACTTCAACCATTCGAGTAGACAGATGCCTCTCCGTACGATCTATGTATTTGCTTCTACAGGTAGATTCGAAGTGATATATGCTTTTAGATGTGTTATTATCATTATTTTCCGATGTGAAATCCACCGTCATCCAAACTCATAGTTAATCATGTTATCTATCCCCAACCCATTCAATTTTGAACATCCATTTCTACTCTTTGCATTACCATTTGACCTGTGAAAACTGTACATTTCTGTGGTGTTACACCTAAGTCTATGTCTCAGTCTACGGTATATATGTATGTAAGTCGTTTTGTATTGTTTAACGGTATATATGTTAGTAGTCAAGTATGTTGAGTATCCAGCCGACGAGTACTACTGAAATTTATGAATTCATTAAATCCTGCTTTTTTCACACATTCGTTGCTTGTTTTAAACATGTCATCTTCATCGTCTACACTCTCCTCTGCGGAGAGTCCAGAGTCACTCGGACTCTGAGAAGTATGCATAGTTATCTAACGAATTAGATAGAGCACTACCATTGTTAGTGTTATGTTCAGTGATATAAAATGTAGAAATTACTAGCCATATGTTAGCATCATACAATAGTAAATTATGATCACATTTTACTGCAAAATAAACACAACTCATCGTTTCTTTTTGACTTGAAAAATCAAACTACTGATAAATAGAAAATAAGTAGTAAAATCGTTAAAGTATGTTAATGTAAAGCAAATAAGTTATTCAAATATATTTGTTTGAGTAAAAAATGATCACTGTGATAAGTTGCGACTATTTTGTTGTTGATAACTTTAATGCGCTAATATACATAAACAGAGCCAAATGTTAACTAAATATTTCTGAATAGTAGGTTAGACAAGCGTATTACTGTTTTCGTTGTTTCACAACCTTAATTGAGATGTTCTATATGCATATAGTTACTATTAATTTAACCGATTAAAAAATAAGTTGAATCATAATGAAAAATAATAGGTGAAAACACCAAATGATAATACAAAAGAAATATGGTGCAGTATAGTTGATTTATGGCATGCAACAATTGAGGAGTGATTGAGTGCGCTTCGATTTCTTAGGACCTTTTGTTTTGTTTCGTATACTGAAATGAGAATCCCCTTCTTGTAGCTTATTTGTATCCCATTTCTGTCTAGATAGGATAGATAGATAGGATATATTTGTGTGTGAATATTATTGCTATTTTGTTAGTGCTCACCGAATTTTAGGGGCAGTAAAATCCCTTAAAGCGAACTCCATCGCTGAATTATCCAACTGAGCTTGTCTTTCATCACGATCTAAAAGATATTCGAAATGAAAATAATAATAATAATAAAGATTGTTTTAAAATTTAATTAACCATGTTCTGAAGTGAAAGGCAACTGAATAATTACTCTTAAGCTGAATTGAAATAGCTTTGAATGTGGTAAAGCGATGGGAATGTATAGAGATGAAATTAAAATAACACGTGTATTACTGCCGGACATAAGTCTATATCAGTAAAACGAAACTAGAAACTGATTGTCATTTGGTTGCCAGTGAAAATATTTCAAGAGAAATAACCAGAAGGCCAATTCCTATCAGGAACGAGATCAACCTTCAACTTCACTCATTATCCCTTTTCATCTAAGACCAGTCTGTTAATCAAACGTCTGGTTAGAAGGTGTTGATTGTTGTTTTATGCCTTTTGCGTATTATTATTGTTATTATTCGTCCCTTGGGTTCCTAATGGAACATTGAGCTTCAGTAGCACGTCTACAATGCGCTCTCTTCTCTGAAATCTTTTGAACCTCTCTCCACAACAGCCCACAAGCTCTCATTTATTCCTCACACAATCTACTCCTCCATGTCACCCTCAGCTAGGACGCCCAACTCGTCGCTTCCCATCTGGGTTCCACTCGAGCAACTGGCCTGGTACCTGATGTCCCCAGTCGGCCTTCTCAGTGTATGCCCAATCCATCCCCACTTCCTTCCAGTGCATATTTGTTCAGCGATAGATTCTTGCTTCGTTAGTTCGCTACCAGCCAGCCAGAGCTCCTTGTTGCTGATTCTCTTCATTCTGGCCATCTGATCTTCAGTAACAAGCCAGGGTAGGCAGTTGTTGATGAATATCTGTAGTTAGTTGGGAATCCCTTTCGTAACGCACCAATTCTCTCAACTACACAGAAGCACTGACTTCACGTTGGTGTTGAAAATCTGGATCTTGTTCCACATGCTGAGTGCAGTCGATCTCCACACTGGTTTCAGGTTAATGAACGCCTGTCTTGCTGTTTTTCCGATCCTGGCTGGCTTTGACATCGTCGTCCGAGCCACCACCTGTAGTTGAGACGATGCTGCCTAGATAGGTGGAAGAGACTATTTCCTTTAAGTTTCTCCCATTGATGGTGATTGGAGCTTCTTGTTGTTGGTGGTGGTGTTGGTTGGGTGTCCTCATCACCTCTGTCTTCTCTACGTTCACTTGAATCGTGTCCCGTCTTCGGTGCCTCTTCTGCCAACTTGTTAGTTTTCGCCTGTAGATCCTCAAGTTAATGTGACATCAGACTCAAGTCATCGGCGAAATCTAAATCTTCTAGGTTCTTCTCCCCGGTACAGCTAGCGTATCCCCCTCTTCTCGCTCCTCACTGTTTGTTGCATGATCCAGTCCACTGCAATCAGATATATCATGGTTGGTAGTAGGCGGTAGCCTTGTTTTACTCCTGTCTTCACTTCAAAAGCATCACTCAGCTTCCCATTGTGAATTACTTGGCATGTGCGTCTTCATATAGTTGTTAAATGAGGCTGATAAAGGTCTGTGGTATACCGTAGTGTTGAAGCAGTTTCCAAATTTCTTCTCGGTCGACGCTGTCAAAGGCCTTCTCGAAGTCGATAAACTTGGGGTGTAGAGTTGACTTCCATTCTATACTCTGTTCTATGATGATGCGAAGCGTTGCAATTTGGTCCGCACATGATTTGTACCTCCTGAAGCCTGCCTGTTCTGGTCGTAGTTTTGAATCCAGTGCATCCTTTAGTCTCCTCAGGATGATGCGGTTTAATTCTTTGCTTGGGGTGGACAGGGGCGTGATTCCGCGCCTACAAACTTTTAATGCAGTCTTGATATTTTCAGTAATCTTTACTGTTTCATATTCCCATCTCATTGGGCTATATGTCAGAGGATTGAAAGCTATTTGTAGTAGAATTTGCCTAGCCTAAATTTCGCGTTTACTAACTTTCTGCACATAGTCGGATATTCAATCACATGAACAACTCAATTCTTCAAAGTTTACTGATACTTATGTAGCATCAAATTCTTCAAGAATACTAACGCTTTAATCGGGTTGTTATACTGGTGGAATAAAATGGATAGATTTATAAACGTTTTTTTCAATAAGAATTTCAGAGTATCATTGATCCGTTGAATACTTTCACAACAGACCTTGTTAGTTAGAGAAATCTAGCTAATCTAAAAATCTATCAAATGACAACTGACTGATTCTATTTGAAGATCAAAGTTATGCGTCTCCAGTATTGATTTAACTAGTATTATTAGGTATAATTTGAGTTCAAAGAGTAATGCTTACTTCGATGATAGTAATCTAGCTACATAAGAATCAAGCTCACATCAGTAGTCTAATCTAGAGGAAGTGAAAGAATCATCAACTCTCCTATTTTCCAACCTTCAGTTACACTTACTAATAAAGAATAAACCAACTTCACTTCTGTATAAACATCCATACAGTCAAAAGTGTGTGCTCTTTAAAAATTTAAAGCAACTGGTCCCTTTGATAAATTTAAACAGCGTAATGAGAAGACGAAGATTATCTGAAACATGTGATGTATTAGCGCTATACATTTCGAACAATCTGATCACACATGGACTTGTCGAACTATTTATATGAAAATTTACGAAAAGGTCAATGAAGTTAATGGGAAACATAGGAATAGGAAGGGATAGAAAAGGAAAAGGAAAACCTTATTCTTGGTATGAAAATTAAAATCAATACTACCAAGGTAGGTTCAACGTGAGTACAAATTGTTTTTGTATACATAAAGGGGGTTTAAATTTACGGATGGCAAGAGCTTCAATAAATTTAAGCACTCGGCTCTGACCACTTTTATGTAGTACTTTAAAGGCTGTTTTCATGTCTATCCTATGGTTAGTTTCTAGTATATGTTTAGCGATAGACGAAGATGGATGTTTGTCACCTGCACTTATCGGATCTGTTGAGGTCATTTGTTTTTGTAGCCACTTAGGTACATGTTCAGCCTTCCTTAACTGCATATCACGATTACTCCTCCCTATATATGTGTGTCCACACATACATGTAAATTGATAAACACAGTGGGATGTGATGTAATCGTTTATATGTTGTTTCGGTTTGTGCTGTAACATGGACTTGGTCTTCTCTACAATGATGACCTTAGCTGCATAATACGTTTTACAGATGGCCGATCTAAGTCTTTTCCTCACAACAAAGCTATGTGAATCACCTCTAAATGGTAATGAGATGTAGACATTTTTCTTAGCAACGGAACACTGTACTTTTCAATGGTACATAACTTTTGCACCGGTCGATAAATCTCAACGGGTATCCATTCTGTATCAGAGTTGTCGTCAGTAAGTTGGCTTCTTCCTCCCTGGTGTCATCGGTGCAGATACGGTTTATCCTGTTGAATAAGCATCTGACTAAACCACGTTTGTATTGGACTGGACAATAGCTATGGAAATTAAGATATTGCCCTGTCCATGTAGGTTTCCTATAGATCGACCTCCTGATCGAGCCATCCTCCCGTCGACTGAGCAATACGTCTAGGAACGGTAGCTGGTTGTTCGTCTCTTGTTCATAAGTCAGGCTAATGTGATTCTGAGCCGTGTTCATTTTCTGTAGCAGGCACATTGCATCATCAGGCTTTTCACATATAATGACTATATCATCAACATATCTCTTATAAAGTGAAACCCTTCCAATGAGATCGTCAGCCATGTTTTCAACATATGACATGTATACATCAGCTAGCAACGGTCCTAATGGACTGCCCATCGCGACACCATCAATCTGTTGAAAGTGTTCGCCCTCGAATGTGAATTCAACTTTATCAGTGCATAATAACAATAAATCTTTTAAAAAATTAATAGGGATAGGGAATATAAGACTGTTAGAAGAAATATAGTCACATAAAATATCAATTGTTTTTACTAGAGGTACATTAGTAAATAAAGAATTTACATCAAACGAGTACATAGTCTTATCCTTGATATTAATATCATTTAAACAGTCAATAAGGTCAAATGTATCTTTCAATGAGGACTTACATAAATGGCTTCTGACAGGGTTCAAGAGCTTTGCCAACCATTTGGCTAGATTATGTGTGGGTGATCGACACATAGACAATATTGGACGCAGTGGGTTGTCAGGCTTATGAGTTTTAGGTAACCCATATAGATGTGGATGTTCAGATCCCATAGGTTTTAGACGATTAAATTCCTCCTTATTGATTAAATTCATACCAAGCATTTTCACAAGTTTAGAATTTACTCTGCCTTCCAATTTACGTATCCCCTCACAGGGGGCATCTGACGTAAATTTGCTTTCATCACTGAGAATAGATAACATCTTACTTTTATAATCAGACGTGTTCATAACGACCACACCTGATCCTTTATCGGGTTTTAGTACGACAATATCAGAGTTATTTCGTAATCCTTTCAGTGCTTGGAAATGCCCACATATATATAAATAGTTCGATAAGTCCATGTGTGATCAGATTGTTCGAAATGTATAGCGCTAATACATCACATGTTTCAGATAATCTTCGTCTTCTCATTACGCTGTTTAAAAGTGTGTGCGTTCATAAGAACTTAAGCATAGACAACCAAGGAAATTCATATCATTAAACAAACACTTTCACCACTATATACACAATAAACAAAGAAAGAAACAACACAAAACTGTTATCGATTCACTAAAATCAACCGAAGTTGACAAGTGTTAAGAATTCTCACACACCCACACCATTTTTCTTAAAGAAATAATAAATGAAATGAGGAGTTAAAATGTTAAGCGCATGGTTTACTGCCTTAAGTATTGAATCTTAGTAGATAATATTTCAGTGCATACTTCAGAATAGACAGAAACAATACAACATACTAAAGATTATCTTTGTGATAATTCTAAGGCGTTAATCAATTTTTGGACCTCGTAGGTTAGTTAGTAGAAGAGTACTGAGTCAGAAACCCAGTGGTCGCTGGTTCGAATCCCGCCGATGCCCAGATTTTCATTTCCAATCGTCACCCAGTATGATGCCTCGTTTTTTTTTATATATTCAACGTTGCTCTTTTGGATAAACATGTTAATTGTTGATTAGCTGACCCCTTATCACTTAATACGTCACACTTGGTCAACTAATGTCTAAACTAGTTGTTTATACCATTGTGAAGCTGTTAGAGCCTAATTGCACTCAAGATTTCAGATCTTTAACTCACTATAACCATATCACAATAGTAGAACTATAATAATAACAATAAGAATAGTATAAGTTAGCAAAAACATACGTTGATGTACTGGATTTGAGCGAATGACACTATCTGGTTGCTAAAACCTCGATAAGTGGATGGAGTCTACTTTGAACCTGTAATAACCCATTGTTTTGATATCGATTTTATAGATGAATGAACTTTGCTCCTCTGACAAGGGAGAGCTGTAATTGGATAGATCTACAGTATTATTTGAACAATGCAAGAACAAAGACATTTGAAGAATAAAATGAGCTCATTTTATTTCATGACCTTTTCATCAGCTGCAAACAGTCTATGATTGAAATTAATTATTAGCAGTAGTAATGGTGGCATAACATACTTCAAACATACAGAAATAAATGGAGATTTGAAACCCAGGATTAACAATAAGCTAGTAAGTCATTGAGACAAAGGATTAATAGTTACAAATCTTAGTCAAAATCAATGACAATTTATACATATCTGATGAGATAAAAAATTGTGGAGTGCGGAGGTGGACAACAAACGAAAATCAGTATAAAAGAAGGGACCATTTAAGAGGTAACAGGTTACGCAACTATATAAAAAACTGGGAAATAGTTAAGTTATTAATAGTCAGTAAGTAATTCATGAAGAGATGATTTAATCAAAAGAAAAGGGAGGACTGTATACATACATGTGCCAAGAAAATTATATACATTTACCAGGGTAAAGCATTGGGACTAATTACAGTCTCCTTCTGAGTACATTGGTCAGGTTAAAAATGTTTGATAATGAGAACTCAAAAGGAAGCTGCAACTAACCTTTCTTTCTTTACCTTGGCAAAATGTATATAATGTTTAACATATATATGTATATAGTCTTCCCTTCTCTTTTGACTGCATCATCTTTTCATTAATTTCTTACTGACCAATAATAACTTAACTATTTCCCAGTTTTTTATATAGTTGCGTAACCTGTTACCTCTTAAATGGTCCCTTCTTTTATACTGATTTTCGTTTGTTGTCCACCTCCGCACTCCACAATTTTTTATCTCATCAGATATGTATAAATTGTCATTGATTTTGACTAAGATTTGTAACTATTAATCCTTTGTCTCAATGACTTACTAGCTTATTGTTAATCCTGGGTTTCAAATCTCCATTTATTTCTGTATGTTTGAAGTATGTTATGCCACCATTACTACTGCTAATAATTAATTTCAATCATAGACTGTTTGCAGCTGATGAAAAGGTCATGAAATAAAATGAGCTCATTTTATTCTTCAAATGTCTTTGTTCTTGCATTGTTCAAATTTGTCAAGGGAACTAAATGTACTACAGTAGGTATGTCTTACTTGTGTTATGCACACCTAACTTTTGCCTCATATTTGCCTATGACCTTGAAATAGCTTTATCATTGGTTTTTTCGCGCCATTACTAGCTTTTGTCTTTCCCACTACTTTTGAAGGCTCAATTCTCATTGGTTGTTAATTGTTTTAACTTGTGAGTGAATTTAGTTTTGTCAAAGTCGTTTAGAAATGTATATATTCAGTATCACTGTCAACTATTTTGACTGTTGTCAAGATAGTAAAAACTCTGTCAGCGGTCTATTTTCTCTTCTTGGCTTCGCGTACTGATGGTGGTATTATGGTTGTTGTGGTTAACGTTCTGATTAGCGACTAGAGTGGATTCTTTTTCGCGTTAAATTCGTATCACTCGTAGACTGCTAAGTTGAACTTACCGGTCATAGCAATGTTGTGATGATGAATATTTTATAATTTTCTGAGAACTAAATTAATGGATGACAAAAAAGCTATCAAGCATAACGTGTTAACTGTTCAGGCAACATGGCTTCAATTGATTTATCAGTTGTTCACTTTCATTAATCATAACCCTATCACCTACGGGATTATCTCGAAAATTATACAAACTAAATAGCCTGTTTCACGAATCACACATCAATCAACATACATAGTTTGAAACATTTCCACTCGTTAGAATTTTCAAATTCCAAGATGTCATGTGGGAACAAAGATCATGAGTAAATAAATATAAACAGAGGAATAAAGAAAGATAATGAAGGTGAGTAAACACTGAGTGATATTTTGTACTACAAGTTCTTCAATTGTATCGAGCATGATATTCTTGTGAATTACAGTGACTGTGAAGAAATGTTCACTAACATCTGGTATTTACTGATTCTTCTTGTTTCCTGTTACTGGACCCAATCGACTGGTCAGTCGGTAAGCATCAATGAATAAAATATGATACCTATGGCATAGGAGGGTGGATCTTGTCACTCAGTAGCCTAGTGGATAATGTTTCGATATTTGAGGTGATAGGTGCTGGTTTCAAGTTTCAGATACTTCTAACTGATTAGCCCCGTATAGTATAAAACACACATCATGGATCTCAGTGCTAAACATTACCAGACAAATAACATCTCAACTGACGTTTGTTTCAGAAAAAGTATCGTTAAAAAACTTAAATCAACTACAACAAATACATACGTTCAGGATATATATGAACTTTGCGAATGGTTTGCTGAATGGTTTGGTTGAAGACCCATTTACACAAACTACCATTATGAATGAGGATATTGTGCAGTTTTACTTCTACAAGAATCTTTTCTTCCTAGTCTGTTCATAGTTATGTACTATTATGCAGTGTGCATAGTTGGATTCCCTAAAAATTCAGTTTTCACAGTTGTAATTCACCTCAATCAAAGATCTTTGAATACTTAGTTTTAAGGAAGTCACTGACTGTTGTTATAAATTATATCATTATCATTTCTACTAAATTATAGAAGAATCAGAGATTTTCTTTTTTCTAAGAAACTTACTTGTTAATAAACTAGCCGTTTTATCAGGTATATGCTGACTAGTTGGATAATGTTCAGCTTGAGGTATCCATACACGTGATAAACTTTCATGACCATCTAATAGACGACGTTTTCGACTAGCTGAACGTTCATTTAAGCATGCACCACCATGTATTAATCTGCCACGTGAATCATACGTGTAACCAGTCCCTTCATAACCTTGAAATTCACTTAAACCTTTGGATACATGACTTTCTGTCAATCCACCACTATATATTGATTTTCTGTCTAAACTGTGTCCATGTGAAGATGATCTATGCCGACGTTCAAGTTCTGCTTGTGCTTGTAATTGAATATTGGATAATTTAATCGGTGTAGATGGAGATAAAGTAGTTTCTGATGGCACAGGATGATCACCAAACCAAAGAGTATTCATTGAACTGGAACGATGTTTTGATGGATTAGTACCAGTTAAACCACTAAATGTTCGACGTTTTGTACTGATTATCAAACTATGTTTGGAACCTTAAAAAAGGGTATAGTTGCAAAAATATGCACAATTTTACTCAAATACTATTCACTGAATAAGGCCATTTATGCCAAAATCTTAAAAAAATGCTTCTTATATAGACACACTACTCTCCATACAATGAAGTTGACGTCATTCTCTCAGTATGTTTATTAACATAATATTGATAATTTCAAGAGATAAAGTAATGAATTTTATGCGCTGTTTGATAATTTAGGTAGTATGTTAAGGAAATTACTGTTCCCCACTTCTAAGGTGTACCCATACGGTTACGTCACCTCAGTTAAATAATCCAAGGTTATATACAGAATTACCAAACTTAAAATTCACCAGCTTTACTCTGTATAATAACATTTTGGAGATAAACTGTACTGTTACAGTATTTCCAGTACACACTGAAGTAATAAAATCCGTGAACAACTTTTTCATTGTAGAAAGAATCAAGTTAACTTAAAACGAATGTTTATCCACAATGATCCAAGTAAAATTATTCCTCGTCATCAAACTAATAATTGAAATTTCTATATTCATCTTGATGACTAGCAGTGGGATCCACGGCGAGCATTTCGTTCTAGTTAGGACTCATCAGCTTGGTATGTCTGTACCCCAGTGAGTGATGTTGTCCACACTGAGACTAGAAAACAAGTAGCCATCGCACGAAACCTACCTCTTGGACAACGGGTACCAGTTGTTGTTTTGATACCGGTTGCAGAAGAGGTGGTCTAGTGGATAACGCTTTGGCATTTGAAGCGATGGGAACCGGGTTTGCTTCTCAGTTGAAACAACATTACTCACTGAGAGGCAGGTACATCCAGCTGACGAAACGCGCCCCCTAGATTCCACTGCTAGTCACCAAGACGAATACAACCTCATGAATACCCGGCAGTATCGATGCATCCGCATAGGAGCCCATCGGCTAACAGAAGTTGAGCAATTCGACCCTGTATGGCAACGGGAATTAATAGGTATCAAAACATATGCTGAAATTTCTGATCACATGTTTGTTAATTAATACTGATTAATTAGCTTGAAATTTACGCCAATTTTATTTATTTCATGGTGCTATTCGTCATGGGCTGACATTAGCTGGTGAGCCATTGAAAACCTGGGAGGACTGGAAAGCTATTTCGTCGTAATATGGGACTCATCAACAGTATATACCCACAAAGTTCTAACGAGAAGCCGTGACCTGCGGGGTCAACCAGTCGAAAGTGATGCGGATGACAACTTGGTGGATAGTCGCGCCATATCGTGAGTTGAGAGAATTTTTCAAAGTGTGGACTACTGAACTCTGACCCAGTGTCTGAGTAGTTAACGCGTTCGCCGCGAGGCCTGAAGGTCGTGACTTCGAACCCTGGCGGAGTCGTGGGCGCACACTGCCGAGAAGTCCCATTCTAGAACAAAACGACTTTACAATACTGCCAGGTTTTCAGTGGTTCTCCAACTGATACCAGTTCTTGATGGATACTACCTTAAAGTAGTTAATTAATAAAGTTCCATATATGTAGTGTTTTCATTTTGTTGGTTAGTTTTCCTATTCGGTACAGTATTCTGTGTGGTTGACAACTGAACTGAGTCACCTTTGGTTGCATGCATTCAGTATAACATGTATGAATTTTGGCTGTGTTAATAATCTTCTTTTCAATTGATTCACATTCAACTTCAGTATGTTTATACTATTCCAATCAATAGTAGACATATCTTGCTGACGAATGCCAAAAAACACAAAACCCAGGTATAGAACCTTCTGTTGACTTCTTTCAACCAACTAACATCAATCTAAGTGCATCACGATAATGAATCTCTAAGCTTGGTTACCGTCTAATGAACAATCAGTGAAATCAATAGCACGTTTTTCATCTCATGCATAAATTGCGTTCAATTTTTTGTACTGTTGTTAGTGAAGTGGGATTCTGGACCGCTGCAGGATTTGAACCGTCAACCTCCAGGTTACTGACCCGATGCTCTACCAAAGAGAAACAACGTAGAACCTCGCACATAGGTGCATCTGCTCAAGTTGCCACACTTCACAGTAGTACACAAAGAACAGGTGGATGAAAAAGAGTGATATCAAAGTTGACAAATTTTTGTGAGAGAATAAACGATGCGAAGTTAGTACAAATACTCAAGCTCTAGAAGATGTCAGGGAGTGAATACATCTGCGCAATTGTGATTGGTTTTCAACCATTTCACCAAGAGATCTCAACTACTGATTCCTATTGTCTCGAGGACCCCAATCAGGCCGTCTACGTCTCCCAATACGGCTCAGACCAACAGAAGAGACTACTTCGAATGGTGCCACGTCTCGATCTGGTCACCCAGAACCCTCTCCCAACCTAATCCAACTTCCCCTAGCATAGCACGTCGAGATAGGCGATGGGTCGGGATGTGCAGTACATGTCCAAGCCATCTCAGTCGATGAGTTTTCACAACTTCATCAACTGACTTCCCTGTCTTGTCTAGTACCCTCTATCTAATTTCAACAGTCCTTACACGGTCATTCGACCAAATGAGAGCAATTCTACGGCCATGTTTCGCAAGAGTATAACATGACAGAAGGGATTGCAACACAGTATACTTGTCCTTTGATAGATAGCCGGATATCTCGCCGTCCCCGCACCTGACGCAAGTTGGAAAATACCAAACAGGCGTTCTGTATCCCAGCTGCGACTGGTTTACCAACTGATCTACGACACCCAGCTGCTGATCAGGTCGGTAACCAGTAAGTTAATCTCACTAGTAATCAATTCGACATTTCCTCTCTCTAACTGGGCTCAATTTGTTTTGTGGCGAGACTTACCTTGATAGCCAGTGGGACTATGATGAACGGCGAGGCAGCGAAGGAGGATGGGACTTCCTTCAGGTGAACGTAGAGAAGACAGATGATGAAGATACCCAACAACAAGAAGCACCAGTCACCATGAACGGGAGAAATCTGAATGAAGTTGTCTCTTACACCTACATACCTAGGGAGGGCAGGATTGTTTCAACTACAGGCGGCATAGGCACAGATGAGGATATCACAGCAGCCAGGATTGGGAAGACATCAAGACAGGCCTTCGTGCATTGACCTGAAATCAATCAGTGTGGAGATCTACCGCACTGCACTGCACTCAGCATAAAGCGTGAACAAGATGTGGATTTTCAACACCAATATCAGTCAAGTCAGTGTTTCTATGTGGTTCAGAAACTTGGTGCGTTACGAAAGCATTTCCAACAAATTACAGAGATTCATCAACAGCTGCCGCCTACGCTCACTCGATACTGAAGATCAGATGGCCAGACCAATAAGAATAAGCAACTGAGAAGTCTGGCTGGCTGGCAACGAACCAACCAACAACCTATTGCCCAACAGATATGCAGAAGAAAGTGGAGATGGATCTGGGATACTCTGAGAAGACCATTTAGGGACATCACGCGCCAGACCCTGGAGTAAAACCCAAAGGGGAAAGGACAAGTTGGGCGTCTGAGCCGAGAGTGGCATGGAGGAGATCGTGTGAGTAAAAACTGAAAGCTTATGGGCAGCCGTGGAGCCAGGTTCAAAAGACTGCAGAGAAGAGCATAAGTTATAGCTGGTTTATGTGTTGTGTAGTGAAAGGTTCGAGAACTGTATGTACAGAACGATGGAGAAATTCAAGAAAAGGACCAACTGATGCTATTAGCTAGTACATTATATAACATTCACAGAAAAGAGTTCCATCAGTAGGCAGCTTGATATAAAAGAGTATACAATTAAAATGGAACAGAAGTAAAGTCAACATATTAGATTTGTTTATTTAATATATAGCACACAGTGATACAGTATTATTTACTTCATAACGTTTCAAGCATAAATTATTACTGCTCATAATCATATCAGTGTACTCACGCTCATTTCGATATTTGATTTTCATAGTCCATTCACCTCATATTCTTTGTTTTTGTTGGTACTAAAATTCTCCATATCTCTGGTGTAGAGGTGTTGCATCATTCCTATTCCACAAGTGTTGGGTGTTGGTTGACTCGATGAACAAAGATTCGGTAATCAATATCTCTCTCTCCATCTAATTATATTGAACTTAAGTACAGTGGTTTTGTCGCCCTCTGTTGTGTGGTTGTGTGTTAATGTATGCACTGTAATACCCAAGCGTTTTTCCAGATTATTGATCTTATTCGGGTCTGCCATTCTATATTCAGCTAAATTCCTATGTTCCACTAATCCAACTTAAACCTACCGGCTAGTTTGATCTATATACTTGACCTCACAGTCATTGCATGGAATTCGATTATTTTGCTGGATTGGTTCTATCGGCTCCTTAAATCAGCTGACGAAGCTTATCTCTGAGTGAGTTTGTAGGTTTAAATGCCACCATAATCCCAGCTTTGTTGAGGATCCTGAGCAAAGTTTCTGATGTACCTTCTTTATAGGGTAACACAATGGAGGCTGTGAACTCCTTTCTATTCGTGTTGTCAGTATTATTCATATTCGTATTATTACTTTGCTACTTATCTGTGTGTACTAATTTCTTCATAAACAGCAGAGGGTAATTATTAACTATTAGCTCTTCCTTTATGTTCTTCAGTTCCTTGCTTAGGTCCTTGCACCGACTAGTCAGTTTTCTAGCTCCATCATTTAGACATTTGACTAGACCCACCTTAACTGACATAGATTGAATGAGATAATCTGAAGTCTAGATACCTGTTAGAGTGTGTCGGTTTCCTGTAGACATTAGCATTTAAACCACCGTCTATCCTTCGTTTTCTCCATTCCAGCACAGGTAATTAACCTTGTTCGGTAATGGACGCAATCCAGTTCATTTACCAGGTAGAAAAGTGGTATGATTACATTGATATTATTATGAGCAATGATAACTTATTCTCGAAACATGGTCATCAAGTAAATGATACTGTATCACTCGCTGTGTGTCATAAATCAAATAAACAAATCTTATATGGAATTAAATTCTACCACAGCGCCCAAGTTTTACACTTATATTAATGACCACACTTTTTCTGCATGCGTAAGTACAGTTAATGTTTTATAACAACCCTAGCCGCATAGGTGTAAAGAGCATAGGCATTTTGTACAGGTTAAGTATTTTGAAAGTGTTAAATGAATCAACTTTATGTCTCGTATCTACAAAGTGTTAAGTAATCTCATTGACCAGCAATCTGCTTCACTTCAAGCAGAAATTGTTCGAAATGTGTTCACAGCATCGAGTGGAAATCCTCTTCTTAGTTCTTTTAAATGTATTTTTGCATAATCCCTTAGTTTACTCGTCTACTGATCTCAGCTTTTTGATTTAGCTTCAATCTAATGGTTATCAGTTTATTTACATGTTACACAATCCCTACTGCTTTTTTAACACATTCCCCTTCATCGTCTTTACAACTTTTTCACTCCTCTGTTTTGTAAAAACTAACAATGATTTTGATGTACAACTCATGGATTTTGTCTACATTCTCACTGTTTTGAACCCCCTAATATACAATACAATTTATGTGTTGTTGTTTAACTTACTGTTCCTTTAATGACTAGTGTTGTTTTAGGATATGTGCAACGTAAATGTTCGTGAAATACAATGATATTTTATTTAGCAAATCTGGTCCCTTTTACATTCATCTTTGGGACCAATAGCGGAATTCAGGATCCGCGTTTCGTCCCATTTGGGACTCACTTGTCAGCCGGACTCTCCTACATCCTACTGAGTGATGTTGTTCCCACAGCGACTCAAACCCAGTAGCCATCACTTCAAACGCCAGAGCGTTATCCACTGGGACACGACACCCACTTCTTGTCCAACGGGTATCAGTTGTTGTTTTGATACTTGTAAATGCTCGTCCCTATACAGGGTCGAACTGCTTGACTTCTATTAGTAGATGAGCTTCTACTCGGATGTATAGATACTGCCGGATATTCATGTTGTATTCATTTTAGTGACTAGCAGGGGAATACAGGGCACACGTTTCGTCCTATTTGGAATCCACTCGTCAGCTGGATGTCCCCCTGTACCGCATTAAGTGATTTCGTTCCCACGGGCTCGAACCCAGTAGCTGTCGTTTCCTTTTGCATTACCTGGGTTTCTACAGCTTGAATCAAATACACAAATTTACAGGATTAAACGTAGTTTAACATAGATAATGTCAGTGTTTCATTTTCCGATCACGTCACATTTAATTCATCTCATTCTGATAGTGAAAACATTGAGCAAGACTATTTGCTACCAGGGTAGTTTTCATCGTGAGGCACTGTACGGCTGTTCAGTCAGAGTGTGGGACTCCTCAGCAATGTTCACCCATGCACTGACGATGAATCGCGCTCAGGACCGTCGTTTCTCGTGCCTACAAAGTTATCATTCAGCTACTGGCTTGGAATCCACTTATCCCCATTTTACTAATTCTCTCAATTTCTGATATCATTTTGACTATCTCAGTGAGATGACCGTGATTTGGCAGACCAGTATTGATACTGGGTGATGATTGGAGATGAAATGAAAATTTGGACCCCGGCCGGATTCGAACCAGCAACTCTCAGGTTTCCGACCCAGCGCTGTGCCACCTGAGCTAGGGGTCAGAAACCCATAGGTCACTGGTTCGAATTTCACCGTGGCCCAAATTTTACCTTCACCTTCACTCACCACCCATTTTCAATTTCTAATATAGCACAACTGTCATTCGCAAGTATTTCTCTTGGCATCTGACTTGATTAGTCTCACAGGTCACCGTCTCTCATTAGGGCTTCGGGAAATCCATCCATGTTCAACCAGATCACTAATGAGCACCAGACAGTAATCCGTTTGGTATTGACGTAAACACTTTGTTTATCCCCCTAATTTGCACACGATAAAATATTCTTCTGTTCAAATGGAAATGTGAATTTCTATTACACTTATTGTTAAGTAGAAAGGAAGTGGTCGTAGACAATAAATTTTTAAGTAGACATTCATCATGGATTGATATTAGTTGTAGAAACGCCGGGAACCTGGAAGCACTACAGAGCTGTTCCATCTTAGTTAGTGTGGGACTCCTCAGCAGTACTCACCCATGATCCCTCTGGAAATCGAACCCACGACCTACTGGTTCTATAACATTGGGTGGCGGTCAAGCTATACCGTGAACTGAGAAAAGTAGGAAATATGGACCATTAGATCGTGACCGAGTGGCTCAAGAGTAACGTGCTGGCCATGGAATATGGACGTTTAGGTTGAATCCCCGGCAGGGCGGAGTCATAGGTGCGCACTACTGAGGAGTCCCATACCAGGATGAAACAGCTGTCCATTGCTCCTAGGTTTCCAATGTTGCATCAACTTATATCACTCTGCGATGAATACCACCTTGAAATCAACAATTAAACCCCAAAATTAAGTTTTCAAGTCCTTATATATTTTGGAAGCAGATGTTGAATAAGTGATGAAACATAAATTTAATGAGATTCAGAATCAATTTCTTCCGTACGGAAATCAAATGTCAGGAGTTCATGATGTATTAGATGGAGGTGGCAAGCAACCTTCTGAGAATTTCTATCAGCATCATTTTTATTGGATTGTACTCGATATGACTTTTGTTTTAATAGATTAAACGTTTATCATACAAGCTTTAGCTGAGACAATTTAAACACCTTCAACTAAAAGAATTCATTGCTGCACAGAACGACTTTCGTAAAAAAAATTCTTTCAATTAATTCTACTCGTGTTACAAAACAGTAAGAAAAGATCTGATTTCATTCTTTGACCAGGCATGAGAATTCATGGTTGACAGAAAAATTGGCGGTAGTAGGAGGTTTGGGACCAATAGTTTTCGGAAAATCGACTGAACTAAACAACCCAGTCATCACAGCTTATAGCTACACTAAGAATAGCAAAGAACTAATACAATGACCACATGAAATAGATGAAGTTGAAATATCACCGTTGTTAAGTAGTTGACAGTTTATCTTCAAAAGTTGACATCAAGAATACAACCAAATAGGAACATTTTCCGTCGCATTTCGACTGATTACACAGTATTCGTATGTTATACATTTGCTTTATTCAAAACCATAATCATGCTAACAGTCCAAAATTCTCAGCAAGTGTTATATTGCATCAATTTACTAGTTGTACAACATACTCCAAATATACATTAACAGTGGTCCTCGTTAACAATATAAAGAATGACAGGATTGTTGAAATACTCAATGACTTCAGGGACATGATGCCTGTTCGTCATTACAAAACTGATTGATAACACTATGTCTAACACGATCTTCTTCACACAATACACAAGCTAAATAAGGTGGTATGATAGAATTGTTGTATGTAGTTGTGTGTGCATAGAGTTTAATATATTTGCTTCTTGTCCTCACACACGACAGACATGGAGAGAGGTGCAGAAGATGCTTGTCATCGGATATGATACTTTTAGCCACAACTGTCTACAAGACAATCGCATTTATCAGTACGGTTGGTGGTGTGCCACTCGCTCCACTAACAGCCTTCAAAATCCTACACAATACAGCATAGTCTTTTTTCCGGAGACCAAGAAACAATGGCAGGGGAACAATAGGCAATTAATTATAGACGAAACACAGGAATCAACAAAAAGTAATAATAGAGGCTGAGTTATACCAGGTCACGTTGAGCTGACTGACTCTTTGCATCGAACAACAAATTGTATGTTATGTCAGTTAGCTCAGCGATAACATCTCACAATCCTGATCCATAGACTCCGACCAGTACTTGGCGACTGATAGCTACATCGGTTACCTTGCATTGGGTGATTCGTGTACAGATATGATACATCTGAACAAGAAAATCCATCATGCTTCGGGTACGCTAACATTTTCTTAAGCTTTACTATGGCAAAGTTATTGCTTTTATTCACGACTTCTTTCTCTTTCTAACTTTACTGACCATGGTATTTGCTCTATAGATTTCGATGAGATGATTTCACTCATCAGAACACTATAACTAACATCAAACGTCTCCTATACTCAAGATAAGTGTTTGACTTCATGCTAATAAACACAAAAGCCCCATTCGAAGATCGATTATGTCACAAAGGGGTATTGGGTGAAATAACCAATTAAAAACCGAAGATTAATTCAAGGCTCTTCAGTTATTCATGGTCTTCAAGTCTAACTGGATCTGAATCTGTGGTTAGGGTCTTACAGCTTTAGATAATTTGTGGTAAACTTAGGGTGTAATACAGTGCTACACTTGTATTTAATCTCATGATTTATGAGTTCAGACCATGGTACTTCACAAGACAGCAGAAAAGCAAATAGAAAGTAACTAATGATAACTATGTCATACCAAATATTGTAAAGAGGGGAAGAATGGTGTGCATACTGTGGGACATAAAATCCTAACATAAAACGATAGGAAAATATGCTCTGCTGAGGAGTCGCAATTTGAGACGAAACCGTTGGGTAGTGCTTTAAAACTAAAATTATTCATACAGAATAGTACTCTTAGAAAAAATCAATGATCATAGAAAGAGAATTATAACAAAAGGAATATGAATGGTTAAGTTATTCGCCTTATCTAAGTGAGTTATCAAGATGCAACATGACCAGCATCAAATAGTGTATAACATCTTTCAAGTTAAAAATATTAGTAATTTCTACAATACTCAAGATTCATTTTTACACATTAAATATTCCATACAAAAAATATTTTATCCATGAAATAAACGATCATTTCTTGAACATGAATTTGACACCACCACCACCACCAACAACAACACGATGAATTGTTATTTACCAGAGAGTAGTTAACTGTTAATTGGTTAGTTATATTGTACAAAATTAACGATGAATAAAACTTACATGGGTTATTTCCTACCAAGAGAGTTAAGAGGTGTATTTATTTCAGTAAACAGAAAAGCTTCTAACTGTAAATTTTATTATATTATTATGTGTCCCTTGGGTTCCTAATGGAACATTGAGCTTCAGTAGCACGTCTACAATGCGCTCTCTTCTCTGAAATCTTTGAACCTCTCTCCACGACAGCCCACAAGCTCTCATTTATTCCTCACACAATCTACTCCTCCATGTCACCCTCAGCTAGGACGCCAACTCCTCGCTTCCCATCTGGGTTCCACTCGAGCAACTGGCCTGGTACCTGATGTCCCCAGTCGGCCTTCTCACTGTATGCTTAATCCACCCCCACTTCCTTCCAGTGCATATTTGTTCAGCGATAGATTCTTGCTTCGTTGGTTCGTTACCAGCCAGCCAGAGCTCCTTGTTGCTGATTCTCTTCATTCTGGCCATCTGATCTTCAGTAACAAGCCAGGGTAGGCAGTTGTTGATGAATATCTGTAGTTTGTTGGGAATGCCTTTCGTAACGCACCAATTCTCTGAACTACACAGAAGCACTGACTTCACGTTGGTGTTGAAAATCCGAATCTTGTTCCACATGCTGAGAGCAGAAGATCTCCACACTGGTTTCAGGTTAATGAACGCCTGTCTTGCTGTTTTTCCGATCCTGGCTGGCTTTGACATCGTCGTCCGAGCCACCACCTGTAGTGGAGACGATGCTGCCTAGATAGGTGGAAGAGACTATTTCCTTTAAGTTTCTCCCGTTGATGGTGATTGGAGCTTGTTGTTGTTGGTGGTGGTGTTGGTTGGGTATCTTCATCACCTCTATCTTCTCTACGTTCACTTGAATCTTGTCCCTTCTTCGCTGCCTTGCCTCTTCTGCCAATTTGTTAGTTTTCGCCTGTAGATCTTCAAGTTAATGTGACATTAGGCATAAGTCATCGGCGAAACCTAAATCTTCTAGGTTCTTTTCCGCGAGGTTCTACATGTAAATTAGGACTGGAAAATGTTGATATTACTTATCTTCCCCCAATAAAGTTTAGTTTTCAAGTTGGCATTCATAATAGACTGATATCATTTGGAGAACCATTGAAAACTTGAGAAGTCTAAACAGCTGTTTCCTCCTAGTATGGTAGTCGTCAAAAGTAAGCACCCATGATGCAGTCAGTAACTGAAATCAGAATATCCAAGTTTCGTGGCACGTTCCCACTGAGTTTCTGGGTCGGAACCCAGTTGCCTACATTTTCCTCCTTTCCAGTCCTCCCATATTTACAGTGATTGTCCAACTGATCTTGGTTGTGTTGTGCTCCCTGAGATGGGTGGTTTAGTTGTGAAGCATTCATTGTCTTTTTCGATAACATTACCGGCACTAACTTTAATATGAAGTGAGCTGTCAATATCTCTCTGAGTGATTCAGTAGTTTCCTTTCGTGAACTGGTTTATGATTGGTTGTTTCCTTTGTTTGTTATTTCACTGACTGAATATATTTTCTTGCTGGCTCCATCTCTATCTGACCTCTAACCTTTTCATTATCATTTTTTTTGTTGGTTTATACACTGAGTCTTTCTCTATACATCTGTTGATTGCTGACTGACCTGAATGCCAAGCTTGTAGAAATTCTCTTACATTCTTTCTGTTTCCAATCTCCAAGATCTCTACATTTTCAAGGTTGAATTCATATCCATAGTTGTTATCCACGAGCATTGAAATGAGTGATGAAATGTCATGTGTGACGTTTAATTGCCAGTTGGTGTTCATGTAAACGAAGGCGAAGACGGAGACCACTTTTTCTAATACATTGTTGATCACAATTATTGCAACTGATTCTGTAAATGATATTCGGTTTGTCTTCTTTCATTGTTGCATCCTTTGCTCTGTATAATATAGTTTGAAGGGAATCGGTTAGATTGTGAGCCACACCAATTTCCAAGTGGTCTCAGTAATCTAATCGTAATCTCTGATATATTCTTCATGTACATTGGGATGATTCGTTTATTGATTTCTGTGGATGACTTTGTAGTTGATGATGAACAGGATAGTGAGTCATCTTCTGATAAAGTATCGTGGGTAGTCGTTCATCTTCAAGATAGGCATCAAGTAATTTCCTTTGTTTCTCCGTGAAGTTCTTCTACTGCAGTGTATTCTTGCCCTTTTGAATGAGATCTATACACAAATGGTTTTGTGAGTTGTTGGGTCTTCAGTATACGTTGACGTTTTGTACATCTGAGTTCCCAATTCTCCGGTAATGGTTCTACTGACTAAAACATCCAGGAATGGCAGTGGGTTGTTCGATTGCTTCTTTGTTGTGAATTTGATGTCATTGAAAAATATTTTGATCAAACTTTCAGTGTTCTCTAAATCATCTTTTTTAATGATAACAAAGGTATCGTCCGCTTAGTAAATCCAAATGTTTGGTTTCATGACGAGTAAAATGATGGCTTCCGCAATTAATTTGGATCTCGGTGATTCTTTTGGAGTTCCTTTCACCTGCTTGCATATCTTGCCATGAAACTGGAAGTACGTTGTCAGACAAAGATTAGTTACTTCCATCAGACTTGAACACTGAAAGGCTAATATCTTCAGAGAGCAGGATGGACATAGTATCCTTGTGTGTATCCTTGATGTGTATAACTGATGTCAGTCCATGAGGAATACCAACTTGAAGTTAATGAAGTGCCACCCCCCCCCCCAAAAAAAATATCATCATCAAAGTAGAGCTTCGTTTAGCAGACGCTTGATTGTCAATCTACTTTCCAGAATTCAACTCTTATAGAAGTGTTTACATTATAAATAAACAGTCGTTTTGAATAAATAGGGTTTTTTGTATGGGCGTTCAGGAAACCGTGCATCTTTTAGCTTTCGACAGTGACCAGCAGCACTATTTACGACAATGTGATCTACGAATTCAACAGTAACAGGAATCTACTATCTAGAATTCCTGTAACAGTTTTAAGCAGCCAACAATTACTACAAGTTACCTTTCTTTTTCCAAAACATTTTACACAAAATATTGCAGTCTTCATCACAATAAATTTTAAACTATACATCAATGTAGGAGAAATTTCACTTAAATATTACTTACCAGTATGGCCATAGTAACCAGGACCTTGACTTGTTGCAGTTGTATGCTTAGAACGTGGTCGTGATACTCGTTCTTGTGACATACCTGATGAAAGACCACGGTGTGATCCTCTCATGTACTTGCCTGTTTTATCATCATAATTACCATAAATATTTTCATAACCTGGGGTAGAAGGAATAGACATACCTTCAGGACTGAAAAGGCTACCATGAGGTGATGTAACTGACTGACCAATTTTCTGTCCTCTAGGAGGTCGTCTTAATTGAACTGGAGGATAATTATCGTCATCTGATATGAAAACAAATTGTTGAAAAATTGATTTCATGATAACTTTGAATTAAACAAATAAAATTGTTACCAATAAATTTTTCTTGAAACATTATAAACATTAAGTTCACATTAATTTACATAGATTTTAGGTTAGGCAGAAGGAAATGGAGATGGATTGGGCATACAGTGAGAAGACCGACTGGGGACATCACGCACCAGGCCAGTTGCTCGAGTGAAACCCAGATGGGAAGCTTTGAGTTGGGCGTCCTAGCTGAGGGTGACATGGAGGAGTAGATTGTGTGAGGAGGAAATGAGAGCTTGTGGGCTGTCGTGGAGCAGGTTCAAAAGTTTGCAGAGAACAGAGGGCATTGTAGACGTGCTACTGAAGCTCAATGTTCCATTAGGAATCCAAGGGATAAATAATAATAAATTAGGTTAATAAAGAAATTCGTGTTAAATATAATTGAATTTCCTGTGACCTTGGTTGAATCCAACTAACTTTGAAGGACAAATATTGTCAAGTTAGTGAGGTTGCTTTTCGTATTTCTGAAAAGACAATAATATCAGTTGAGTAGTGACTGTTTTCTTAAAGGCCCACCAATTAAATAAACAATGAAAACCTTGAACTTTTTAGATTCTCAGGCACATACAAGAGTCTTTCTAACACGAAAATCATTCCCAAGTCTTAAGAGTAGCTGATAAAATTTCTGATGAAAAATAATCAGTGATAGAAGTGGCACACGTCTTACTGTAGGCTAAATTGTGCATTAACTCTAGATGGTTCGAGATAATCTATAGGAAACTCTGTTTACCCTAGATCTTGTGTAAAGTGTATCTGCAGTCAACTAACTTACATCCATCATGGTACATTGAGATAGTCAGTTTCTTATTTTGGTGACCACAATACAAATAGTTGCATAAAATTTAACCAGTACAATTTGAAACTGGTTACTTTTTAGTAGACCAATCATTAGAAATTGTGCATTTTCACGAGTTAATCTATGTTTAATGTTTCAATTATCAGAATTACTTCGCGTTCGTCAAATGTGAATATACTTCATTTATCTACAAATTCCTTACTGACTTTGGTGTTTGAAGCGATGGACATTGTGTTCGAATCTCAGTAGGAGCACGATCATTCGTTAGGGATGTAAATAAATCCAGTGTCCGTCAAAGACGTTCACTTTCTCCACTCCTATTCAATTTTATCGTAGGCGTTCTTACTGAGGTCTCCCTCTCGACATCTGACTACAAAGGGATCGATGTAACCACCGGAGAATCCTTGGTATATCCAGAATACACAGATGACATAGTCCTGTTAGGGGAAGATCTTGACAAGATGTAGAGTCTTGTGGACACATTGAGTGGTGATTTGAAAATATTTGGGATGCGTTTCTCCCCCACCTGAATGCAAACTGTTGCTCCGGTACTGATCTTCAGTGGTGCTATTTCTAACAATAGGGAGTGAAATGGTTAAGCGCGCTGACCACTTCACTTACCTGTGGTGTTGGACTAGCCTTCGTGGGTCGATTACTGATGAAATCTCTGCACGGATACGAAAAGGCTTGGTCGGTTTTCGCCAAATTATACCACTTATGATGACTGTGATATCTATTGTCGACTAAGTATTGAGTGTACTGAACTGTAGTTTGCTATGTTTGGCTGTGAAAAATGGCCATTAAAGATAGAGGATATGAGAAGGCTTCAGGCGTTGAACTATAGGTCATGTGTCTTCGTGTCACCACATTAGTAACGTAAAGTCTGGAGTAGAGTTTTGGGTAGAAGAGTAAAGTCGGTTGGTGAGATTGTGAACCTGCATCAACTGAGGTGGCTTAAACATGACCCGAATTTATACCGACATCTAGCTGTGTAGCAAGCAGCCCATGTCAGTCTTCACATGTCTCAATCCATAGTATACCTTCCATTATATTTGGGAAGACAAGTTTTCTTTCGAACAAAGGTCAAATACCAGTACCTAGTCATATCTGGGGATGTAAAAACTTGTCACCTGTGTTTTCTTTGTTCAAATACTCAACAGGCTATCCATGTACCTTCTGACATGACTTCGTATCTAATACCAATGAATAAAAACAGTCTGATGAGAATTTGGATTGAGAAGTCAGGTAAACACATATTATTTAAGTGTGAAGTACAATTGGTTATAAAGATGAAATACACATCTTTCAAACATATGCGTAGCGGCAAATAAAGTGTCACAGTCAAATGTCCAAAGTTCAGGGATATTTAAACTCAGATCCTGACCTTCAAATTTTCGATGAATATATTTAGAGCAGCAGGTGCATGGTCAAGCATCTATGACACATGATATATCATTATGTCACGCTCAGCTGCTTGTTCACAACCCTCACCAGTTAGTTAGCTGGTCCATCTCAATTCGTCAGAGAAAATCCTAAAATATATATCTTCCCTCTAGGTGTTCTTTCTTGGTCTTTCATTCATGAGTTACTAGACAAGTGCAACGAATTACAGACTGGTTTCTGCGTCTGCTAAGAGTGTGTTCATAAGCTTCTAAATATACTTACCAGTTGGTATGGTTTACCCGGTACTAACTAGGAAATTCACGAAGTGTCATCACTTCTACTGGGGTGACTTAAACATTAGATAGCTGTTTTATTTATTCGATGTAAACATAGACTAAATTCCTGGAACGTTTCAGTTTACACAGTGGTGACTAGTATCATATACAGTATGTCAATCGTCGTATCAATGTCTTAGTGTTCAGGTCGCTGGCTTCAACACTGTCTTTATCATTATATAATATATATTATATTATAACATTTTCCCACCCCATTAGCTCCCCCTCCCACTTTTTTAATTTAACCTTTGTATCCTTCCTTTATCACTATTATTGCTATTATAATCGCTTTCACTTTAATTAGTGTCCGGTGTTATTTCACTTAATTATCTTAATCCTTTTAGAAAACATTGACTTCATCTTGTCCAACTTGTCTAATGCCATTACATAATACTTAACTGATTTACCATTTTCAATAATTTTTTCACCCCCTTCTGAGTTATATACTCTCTATGTACCATTCCATATACTACATAATCCATTTGTTATCATTCCCACTTCAATTGTTATTTTAATCACAAATGCCTACGTCATCATCGTCTCTATTATTATTGTCATCACCATATAGTGTTTAGTTTTCCTCACGGGATATAATTTTCTCCAAATATCATATATATACGATTGTACAGCTTGAAAATAAATTTGTTGAAAAGAGTCTCTTCGCTGAATATCTTGTTCTTGAGGTTTCAACAGTGCCTGACGTAGATTCGACTTGCCGAGTAGACATCAGTCTCCTCCTCATGGTTACATGAACCACTTGGTAGCAAGTAGCATAAGGCACCAAAATGAACCTCAGAGTTCTTTTCACTGATTTAATTCCAACTTCCAACTCATTAAAAATTGTTAGGCTAAATTGCTGAACGGACTGGTAATACCAATAATAATAGTTATCCTTAAACTGCACTGCACTACTTTTACTGATATCTCTCAAAATCAATTAATTTCACACCGTCAAGGTATTTCAGTAGGATTTCATCCGAATAGTCATCACCCTGATTTAGATAACAAGCACTGATGATCGGTGTTAGTAGTTTCAAAGTGCTCATATTGATCCAAAATATGAAGTCGATTAGTCTCAACCGTTTGAAATAATCATATCGTTAACTGTCATACATTTCTTTGATTTATTTCAGTACTACTGTGCTGAAGTATCTTTCAGTGTCCAGTGAACATATGATTTAGAGCTATGCTCTAAAATATTGCTTCAATCATCACCTAGTATCAGTAACACTAGTCTGCCAAACCACAGCAGTCCCATAGTTTTATAACAACTATTCGTACTACTAGCATTTACTGAGTAGTTAGAGAGGAATCAGCAAACTTCTAAGATGGTCCATATCAGTGTGGTGAGATTTTTGATATGACATGATTAACTATGCTTCTTCTTCTTACTTGTAGGTTTTGGTTCAGATCGTCGCCTCGTTTGAGGTATAGTGCGTAGTGCTGGTGGTTTAAGTTCTTCATCTGATCCACCGGAATCATCATAGTCTTCACTATCCTCCGACGTATATTGCTCGTAGTCAACATATCCGGATGGCTGATCCGATGTTCGGTGGCCGGTTTGAGGCTTATGTGGTCCAGTAGGTTCATCACCTAATCTGGGATCATATGCACTATGAGGTCCTGAACGTTCACTCAATTCTTGAAGAGATCGCCTGCTTCCTTCATGAGGTGGACGAGCACCATGTGGAACAGAACCAGGTAGGTTCATGTACAGATTTTCATCAGCTGAAAAAGTTATAAGATAGAATCATTTTGGTACTGACTTATATAGTCTCTTGTATAAACGCCAGATTCTTCAAACTATCTGTTTTGAGAATCCTATAGTTAAAATATTATTCAGTCACTTTTAAGGATCTAATTATATGTATGTATATCCAGGTAAATTCATGGTAGGTAATATAGTAAATAGACTTCAATGTTTTTGCTAAGCAGTCTCATAGTCACTGAGAAATTAAAATGTTTTTGGCGCTATCTAATATAGGTTTTTAGTGGTGTAGAGTTCAGGAGCCTTGAAAAGAATAAAACAACTGCCTGCAATAGCCTTTTGTTTTCCATACCATCCTAGATAATACCATGTGAAACAGCATGTTACACTATTCTGGATGATGTCAACTCAGTTTCTAAATATGGAAGTTTTTCTTAATATAACGATTCATTTCACATTTAAAAAATGGAAAATAAGCACTTAATGGAATCCATTGAAATTTTCTCTGTCTGGAAACTAGATGAACTGTAAGGTAGTAACACACATGTTCCTAAAAAGTAAAACCATCATTTTGAGACCAACAGATAACGTTTTCAGTTACTAAATACATCTGGTTTATTTTCTACAAGTTGGAATGTTGATTTTCGAATAAAAAAGGACTGACAATTGATGAAATCTAGGCATGATCAATCTACACAATTAACTAACCAGATTTGCATGGTTCCAACTAATCAGCTCTCTGAGCTGAATCATTCCTGATACAGTGCTGGTGAGCTGTGCTCTAAACAAACGAAACAGTCGTGTAGTGTTTAAGTCACTTTGATCTGTTTAGAGATCACTGCTGATCACTGTGAGTGGTTTCTAACTACTCATGTCAGTCAGCAGTATACTTCGTATAAGTGACAAAGTTTTATTACCTGAAGATGGTTAAAACTAAAGTTCTAAGTAGAGGAAACGACGTAGTTTAACGTCACTAGATTCTGATAATACAAGATGTTCAAAATATGCTTGGTGTTCTACAAGTTACCTCTGCGGTATGTAAAGTTAAGGCTTGGATACCATGGTAGTAAAAGAAGGACCCTTTTCATGATATATTGGCTACAGTTTGGAGCATAACTAACTTCGTGTGGCGCATTTTTTAGATGGAGTATAGTACTTGCAAGATAGTAGACAGAGGCTTGTGTCATTCGCCTTATTGGCTGTTTTAAACTACACTTCACTTGGCCCTTAGGATATGACAGCTGAATAAGTTAACATTTTGCAACCAAGTAGCACACATAATCCAATCCTCTAATGAATCAATCGTGACCAAAGTAGTTCAATGATGAAAACCCGTGACTACAGCTTTAAGCAAATCAAACTTGAACCTTTTCTGAGAAGATTATCAATAAGGTTAGAAATATGGACCATGGGATTCCACCAACCCAGTGGCTCAATGGTAACGTGTTGGCCACGGAAGCTGAAGGTCCTGGGTTCGAGCCCTCGTAAGGCGGGGTCATGAATGCGCACTACTAAGAAGTCTCATGCTAAGACGAGACATATGTCCAGTGCTCACAGGTTTCAGTCAGTCCATGATGAATACCAACTTGAAAAATCACTAAATCCCTACAAAACCCCCAAATTAGATTACCATTAAGCAAAAAACTTTGATCCACTGATTAGTACTCAGTTATTGCTTACATATAACATGTCTGTATCCAATGGTAAAAACATGACACTAATGGCAAATACTATAGCAGCAATCTACTCTGAGTTTTGAATAAGTGTCGAAATGTCTTACTTATAATACCCAACCTTTCTCAAGAAAATCAAAGAAAATATTAGGCTATCTAGTACCCAATACTAATCAATTCCTATTAGTCAAGCTAACTACGTGTCCACTCAGCCAATCAGTTCAGTATCTATGGCTAATATGTTCCATGTTAGATAGTTGGAGGTAATCAATCGATAAAGTCTGCAGTTTGGATCAGATCAAGTCTATGATAAATTCTGCCTTGAAACCAATCGATCAATCCTCACAAAATTCTAACTTAAAAATTAAATCTACTTGAAAAAAATTATTGGCTAGTCTGGTTGATGAGTGAAAACAGCTTAATAAACTTATCCATGATTATTTATTCTTCTGCTGCTTATCGATTTTTTCTCTTGCAATTTATCAATGACTTTTCTGCTTACGGTTTCAGTATTTTACTTCTCCTGTCCAACGTTCACCTTATGATGAGTCGATGCAACCAAACTCACCAATATTATTGATGGGTAGTGGGTAGCAATGGAATCCACGGAACACGCGTTTCGTCCTATTTGGGACTTGTCAGCTGGATGTGTCTGCACCCTAGTAAGCAGTTTTGTTCCTACTAAGACTCGAACTCGTGTTCATTTGCTCCAAGGAACAACATATAAACCATACCCGTTGAATAAGAAGTTGCTGTCGTGACTCAAAGATCTAGTGGATAACCTTCTGGCATATGGAGCAATCGGTCACGAGTTCGAGCCTTAGTAGGAACAACATGACTCACTAGTAGACATGTGCATCCAACTGACGAGTTCCAAATAGGATGAAACGCGTGTCCTGGCTTCCACTACTAGTCAGTATCCATCAATAATATATAAATTTTGAAAATACAGGCAATATCAAGGCATTTTTGGAGGAGCCCATATGACAATAGAGACCGATCAATTCGGTCCAATCAACAACGAGATAATATAAGCAACATCATTTAAAGTTCACTGATGTCTATAATGTTATTGATAATGATGGATGACTGAAGATGAAGTGGAAGATTGAGTCCTCAAAAGTAACCTGGAGGCTACTGATTCAAATCCTGACACGATCCAATATTTCATTTGACCTTCACAATTATAATCCAGTATCAATAACCTCAATCTGCCGAATTATGATAATCTCAGATATTGTCATCTATAAATGAAGAACCTTTGGAAACCTGGGAGCACTCAACATCTGGGAATTCAGTTAACACTTTGAACTATGACATCTATTCAGTATGCATTATGCATCAGTTTTATACTAAACCTTCATCCAAAGTATTCAACTCTCTTGTAAGAAAAAATTGAAGAGACATAGAGCTATCCCCCCCACCCCCTCTACTGGTCTTCAATTATAAAGTCTGTTTGCCATCAACACTTACCTATAAACTCAAAAATGGATCAATCCACAAACCATTTACATGAAAATCCAATGTGATTGTTAAATTAACCGATACAACACTATGGTACAACATCACCGATGTCAATTGTTCAGGCAGCTAGGAACATTCAGTTTCCCTACTTGTAACAAAAAAATGGTGGCTTACTTTCAGTCAAGGGGGAAAATGATTCATATAAATTAAATATCAAGAAATAACTAACCTGGAACTGTTTTTTGAGCTGATTTTCTATCAGATTTTCTGCTTGACTTTTGAATATCACGCTGTGGTTTAGGTCGAGTATAATCAGTAGGTTGAGGTGGTACAACAGGATGACGATATGGTCTGGTAGGTTCTATATCTAGGACAACAGAAATACAATTAATTTAAATACTAGTCATTCATCTCTATCTAAAATCAATTCAATTGCATAATTCTTAACGTCTGGTTAGCGTAATTAACTTGAATACAGATAAGAAATCACTGAGGTAATCATCGCTGTAAAACAAGCCGATCTTTCCTACATAACACATCACATTAAAGATAACATGAAAACTTCTGTTTCTAAATCTTTCCAGATCCTTCATGAAGTAACCCCAGGTTCGTCTGAATAAATTATTCATCAGTGAAGAATCAAGCATCATATTTTGTCTCTCAATTTCATCCTACACAGCCTCGCCATATATATGTATCAAGGTACGGTTTTTCACAGAGTGCGATTAGTTGGATAGCCATAGAGGACCTGGAAACACCAGACAGCTGTAACGTCATACATTGGGGCGCACTTACGACCCTTTCAGAGATCGGACTCAAGAGCTTCAAAATCTTTCAGTGAATATGTTAACTACTCAGCCACTAGGGTGGAGTTCCGTGGTTCACAGTTTCTTACTTCTATCAATTTGCTGTAAAGCGCGACCATCCAGCATGGTCTTCAGTTGTCATCTGCCTAACTTCCGACTAGCTGACCCCACAGGTCATGGCTTCTCGTTAGGACTCTGGAAGCATATCACTAATGACTATTCGGCAATATATTTTGAGGTTAGTGGGGAATTTATGTTCAAAGCAGCTGGGTTGTGGTTGCGTATTGCCAAGAAGTCTGGTAATAGAACGAAATGGCTATCCAGCACCCCCAAATTTCCAACAGTTCCCCTTCTGATATCAATCCGTAGTAAATGCTACCTTAAATGTGTCTATGTTTTTCTAAGTTAGGCGTTGATCAGGAAAAGAACACGTTCGATTAATATAGTCTCATGTAAAATTAATATTCAAATATATCAGTGTACTTTATTCCAAGTTAGTTTAAAGTATGCTCATACTAAATCCTCACTGAATCTCCTAAAACTTTAGAGAACCAATCCCCTCAACTTCATTGGTAATTATGTCATATATAAGGGTTATAAATGACCTCTTCATCCTTCCACTCAGACAGAGCAAACATCTTCAAGATTTTTTCATTAACAAGACTTAATAGATTGGTTGAATAGTTTCAAGATCCACGTTAATTAACAGGAGGCAGAACAATAAAGTAACTATTCATGCAAGAGACAACTGTGAGGAGCTGTGAGAAGATGGGCGGACATACACTGGTTGGACTGATGAATGAAAAGACACCAGAATAAGATTTGTATTTCACCGTCGATGATGATTTATGTCTAGTGTGTTGTCTCACAGACTCGATGATCTGCAGGTGAAAACTAACAAGTTGGCAGGAGGGGAGAGGAGAGGCGAGGCGAGGTGAGATGACGCGAGATGAGGCGAGGTGGGGCGAGGTGGGGCGAGACAGAGAAGAAAGACGGAACTTTCCTCAGGTGAACGTGGAGAAGACAGAGGTGATGAAGATACCCAATCAACCAACCAACCAACCAGCAGCAACGATGACAACAACAACGAGAGTCACCAATCACCAAGAATGAGAGAAATCTGAATGAAGTTGTCTCTTACACCTACCTACATACCTAGGCAGGGCAGGATTGTTTCAACTTCAGGCGACACAGGCACAGGTGAGGATGAGGATGTCACAGCAGTCAGGATCGGAAAGACAGAAAGACAGGCCTTCGTGCATTAATCTGAAATCAATCAGTGTGGAGATCTACTCCACTCCACTCCACTCCACTCCACTCCACTCCACTCCACTCCACTCCACTCCACTCCACTCCACTCCAGCATAAAGCCTGAACAAGATTCGGATTTTCAAGACTAATGTCAGTGAAGTCAGTCAGTCAGTGCTTCCATGTGATGGTTGAGAGAGGTGGCGCGTTACGGAGAGCATTTCCAACAAACTGCAGACATACATCACATGAACAGCTGTCGCCTACACTCACTCGATAGTGAAGATGGAGATGAGATGAGATGAGATGAGATGGTGAGAATAATAATAGGAATGAGCAAGGAGGAAGTGTAGGTGGCTGGCAAGGGAACTGGTAACCACCTATCACTCAATAAATGTGTAGAAGGAGGAGGTTGATATGGATTTGTCTGAGCTGAGCTGAGCTAGACTGAGCTGAACTGAACTGAACTGGATTGGATTGGACATACACTGAGTGAGAAGACGATTTTGGGATATCATGCAGCAGGTGGGGCGAGGCGAGGTGAGGTGAGGTGAGGCCGTTGAGTGGAACTCGAATGGGAAACGACGAGTTTGTTGTGTGAGCTGAGGATGATATTGAGTAGATGGTGTGTGAGTAATAAATGGAAGTATGTGGGTAGTGTTGGATTGAGGTTGATAAGACTGTAGAGAAGAGAAGAGAAGAGAGTGGGATGTTGACGTGCTACTGAATCCCTATATTGCACTATGAACCCAAAGGATAAATAAAATAAATAATCAATAGCAATACTATGCTTTTAAGCTGAATAAAAACTTAGTTAATTTTCATGAAGCAATGGACTTGGATTTCTTACGTGTTGGACCTCATCAACAAGAAGTATCTAAAAGTCTTGAGGAGACTTATGTCACTTCTACAATTTGAATCTGTACCACTCATTTCTGAAGTCAAAGTATATCACTAAGCAATTCAGATGGACTTAATGGTCATTGAATACTTCATATCTAGTACGTACAAGTGAAGTTAAGCACCAACATCTTGGTATTTTCAGCAAGAAAAGTATTTAATGAGTTCAAGTCAAGTCTACACAATCTGAAAATCCATACTGAGGATATTTCCAATTGACCTAGTCGAAGTAGTAAAGAGATAACCTTAAGAAGAATATCAATCAAATTCGTACAATAAATAATGGTTGGCTCGTGGTAATCGACAGACGACTCTGCTCAGTCTAATAAATTTTGTGCTTCTGACCAGTCATCAGTAATGCATATCTGCGACCTCGAAGGAAGTGATGTCCATTCTCGGCTTCGAACCCGCGCCACTCAGTGCTGCAGTCAGCGACGTTACAATAAATTTCAAACTGTGCATTATAGCGTTGTAAGTATAAAAGGGAGGCGGCTAACGCACCTGTCCTGCATAGTTGTGCCACCAGTGAAATTAAGTCTGTTCACCACTTGGTGGTGATGAGGATAATAATAATAATAGGTGATGATTGAAGGTGAAGTGAAAATTTGGACCGCAGCCAGGTTGCAAGCAGCTACCATTGGGCCGGAAACCTAGTGGTCCCTGGTTCGAATCCCACCGCACTAGCAATTCTCATCTCATCTTCAATCACCACACTGTATGAATACTGGTCTGCCAAACCACGGCTATTTCAGATAGTCAAAATGGTAACAGGAAACATGAGCATTGGTGATTGTGATTCATTTTTACTCATAGTTAAGTTACTTGACATTTCCTCTGATTATGTCCTGGTTTAGCCACCTTTACCTTTCTTTCAACCTATTTCTGCTTAGACAAGCATATCACTTTGAGGTAAGCTGCGTCTCAGCATGTGCAACACATGTTCGAATAACTTCAGCCAATAAAGATCTTACAATGACCAGTAATGCGACCTAGTAGTCTACAAGCAATATGAATCTAATATGTGAAAGATTCTACTCCAATTGCTAATCAGAACGTCAACTTTGAAGAAAAGTAGAGAAGATAGACCGTTGACATATAGCTTTTATTGTCTAAACAGCAGTCAAAAAAAGCTGACAGTGATGCTGAATATATACATTTCTAAACGACCTTGACAACATTAAATTCACTGATAAGTTGTAAGAAATTAACAACTAATGAGATTACAGCCTTCAAAAGTAGTGGGAAAGACAAAAGCTGACAACGGTGACAAGAGGGAATGAAAACAGTAATCGTACAGTTATTTCAAGGTTATAAGCAAAATTAGGGGTATATAATAGATCCGAAAGCTCATTGACTGACTTTCTTTCCTTGTGTTGTGCTGTTTGCCTAACAGCAGCATGATTTACTCTATTGACTTAATCATACGTCAACAATGCTACTGAGAGACACCTATAATCAAAAAATATTTAGTTCTATCCTATCACCCTCTTTCTTTGGCTATAAGTTATTCACTCATAGTTAAACAGACCAATCTACAAAGGTTGTATACGCTTCATTCTGCTTTTATCTTGTGGTTACCTCCTGATGTAACCGTTATGCATGGTAAGATAAAATTGCAGAGATCATAGAGAATTCTTTTATTCAGTATGAAGCATTGTTATGCAATGAGATAGTAAGCAACCTTAGCGAAGTGTTTACTCTTATGACAACTGATTTTAATCTGAAAACACGAATCCCATGCACTGCTTACTGGTACTATTACATTTATTGAAGTAGGGATTCTTTTTCAGCCAGTTTATTGAACTGATGCCTACTGAGGACATTGGATGATGACTGTGCCATGTCATGCATTGACAAACGTAGAGAAACGTTAACCATTGGATTTCAACTCAGTAAATGAACTACAGTGTGCTTACTGTGACTCCAGACAGTCTTGAGCTCCAATTCTCATGGCGGTATGAGTCGATGCTGATAAGGAATCTTAAGCTAAGGTGAAGCAAATGTTCAGTACCACTGGATTTACAATTTGTCTTTAACTGTGGTCAACTGATGACGTAACCCACCTTGGAAGTCAAGTTTTTGGCTGACCTCATTGATATGAATGAAGCGAAGTGGAAACCAGTATATTATGCCGAACACTAATTTGATGTACTTGCTTGATACTCACTCATATAAGCATGTGCTGAAGTATTTTGAACTAATTCTGCTCTATGGGCTGAATTTGTCTGGGTACACAGTTGATGAACTGACTTGGTCCAAGACGAGCGAAATCGCTGTCCGATGTGGTGTTTAGATCACTCTGATCTGGGTGGCGAAATCCTACAGATTAACCTGAGTAGTTTCTTACTACTCAATTTGTTCACTAGTAGTATCGTTCGCTGATACAATGATGTACATTTATGAATAAGTCATT